AGTTCCAAGGCTATAAATTGGAATTTTCCTACGGCATCGTTAAATCCCTGAGTTGAACGCCTTAATTTAAGAAGTGAGAAGATTGAAATATGAAAAGATCTGAAGTTGTATGTTTTCACTGAAGCAGACATTAAACGCATGAGAGCGTTATCGCCTCCTTTCTTTCTTTCCTTCTTTCTTTCTTATTCTTACTAAAACTGAAAAATGTGCCTGTTATATCATTTCTCTTTTTGCACATCATCAAAATGGAAGTGTCCATTATTTATATGCGACAATGACACAGCGTAAAGTAAGTACTAAATTAACAAAATAAGTAACCAAAGAATAAGCAGAATTATTATTATTATTATTATTATTATTATTATTATTATTATTATTCCCCTTTGGTTTCTGTTGTATACACATTTCTTTCCGTGTCCCAAGTAGAAACCTAAGGACAGAAATTATTTATGATATTTTCGTAAAAGAAAATACATTTTACATAGATAATGTTTTCTTCTTTTTCTTTTTCTACTTCTTCTTCTTCTCCTGATTATTATTATTATTATTATTATTATTATTATTATTTTCTTTGATTTCTGGCGTTTACACATTTTTTCCGGGTCCCGCCCAGGGACCTAAGGTTAGAAATGGCGTCATGACACTTTCCACTGACAAAAAAAAAAAAAAAAAAAATTACATAGATAGGTCTTATATCATTTCCCACCGTACATCTCCATATTTGGTATGTTTGATTGGTGGTGTTCTTTGCTGGGTTTTCGAGTGAAGAAGGATGTCATGACTTGTCGATACTCTTCGCGGCTCCATTTCGTTCGTTTACTTTTTATTAGTCGATTTGGTATTGAGTCACTTGGTCCAAGGTTGGCAATAATCCGGGTTTGGTGACCTAGTGTCTCTTCGTGTGTGGAAGAGTTTGTTCCAGTGACAGATTTTTCGTCCTCAGACTGGTTCCTCTCTGAGGGACGCGGCCCTTGTTGTCCCGGTTGACGGCCGATCCGGTATGAAATAATATTCGTATTCACTGAAATTGGTAGAGATGCGTTTTAACCTTGACCGCCAAGGAGTAGTTATGTTCAGATTACCAGCTGTAGGACGAATCTCGAAGAAGATCCTGGAGCACGCCCAAACAATGAGATTGTGGGTTTATTGATATAAAGAGAGAATATTTCAAAAGATTGTGTGGTATTCAGTGGGGTAGACTATAGTAAGTTTTAACTTAGTATAAGTCGGAGTGACCACTCCAAGGGGGGATAAATACATTTTAGTATATAGACTTAAAAAAAAAAAAAGTAAAAATAAATACAATATGATCCCTGTCAATGCGGATACATACACATGTAAATTTTATATATATATATATATATATATATATATATATATATATATATATATATATATATATATATATATATATATATATATATATATATATATATATATATATATATATATATATACAGGGAGAGAGAGAGAGATATTAGTAAACATGTACACATATACACAAGACAGAGATTTGGGATGCTTAAAGTAAGAGAGAAAAGTGAAAATAAATTGAAAAATGGACACGGGTGTCCGCTTAAGGTCGGGGGGGGGACAGAAAATTTGAAATATACGGTAAACAAAAAAAACATTATTATTATTATTATTATTTCCTTTGATTTCTGTTGTATACACATTTCCTTCCGGGTCCCAACCAGAGACATAAGGTTAAAAATGATTTCACTGATCATTTCTGTAAAAACAATACAAAACCTAAGATCAGAGCTAAATCATACATTTTAGATGCATCAACAGTGGTTTTTAGTGATGTTCTGTTTTCATCGCAGATTTCGGGTTTCGCATCATATCGGCTTCAAGAGCAACCCCCGACCTGATTCTAAACGAGTCAGGCCGCCTTCCTTAAAAGCGTTGTGCTACGCACCGCGACATTGTAAAAAAAAAAAAAAAAAAATCAGTAATCATAAGAAATAGCAAAGCCGGACTTCGGCCGTTCTTATTGACATATGTCAGTCAGCGTCAACCAATGAAAACAGGGCTTTTCACGCTCCTCTGCTATATATGTCTTTTTACTACATCCGGTTTAGATTTACTACTTCCGGAATCCATAACGAGGTCAGCTGGTATCTTTATTGCATTGTTTAAGCCCATGTTTTACATATTAAATACTAATCCCATAGCGACACTAAATCTTTAATTAAACCTACACGTGTACCCAATGCAAATCTATCCTGCTAACACTTTCTAAAAAGAAACTCGCTATTCTATCAGGTCAATCCTTAACGCTTACCTTATACTCTTATTCAAACAAAATCACACACACACACACACACATACACACACACACACACACACAAAACACACACTCACACACAAAACACACACGCACACAGCTGCATGTACGTCCCGCATCCACACATAAATGTAAATACGCACACTCACATGTATTGACACACATTTTTCAAAGATTATTTGTAACTAGCTTAAAAGTCGGTCGGATGTAAGCTAGCTCCTGCGGAGGACTTTTGACTGGGCCTTCATCACAACAGATTGGGAGGAGTAAATGCGATAGGCAACAATAAACTACAAAAGAACCCAAAACTGCTCACTGCATTCAAGTATTGCATCAATATTTAAGTTTACCCTTTAAAAGTTCAACAATAATTCTTCTGTCGCCACTTAATTTCAAGACAATATGATGTACGTAGGTCCTTACTTTCCGTACAAAAATTACTTTTTATTTGACTGATGGAGGGGGACTTATTTTCTACCCTACAGCTCCATTCCCACAGATGTAATGCAGCAAGGCTTAATGCCAGCTCATGTTGAAACACTGGTTCTCCTACGATCAGCAAAGGTTTCGCAATTAATTTCGATTATTCCCAAATTTATATCCAAGTTATAAAAGTCGTTATCATACAAAAAAGAAAAAGAAAGAAAAAATCGTGGCAAAAAATTACGTAAAAAAAATCGCCGAAAACAATCGAAGTAATGAAAAATCGGGAATCCAAAAATTTCAGGTGACACACTATTTAAACTAAAAGAGTTATGTCCCTTTAATTGGTTTTATCAATAGAAGCCATGAATCCAAGATGGCGGAATCCGAAGACAATCGCAGTAATGAAAATCTGGGAATCCAAAATTTCAGGATTGCGGGTCCGGATCCGGCCCAGAATCTTTCTAATTTGCTCACGGAATCGGCCTGATATCAAAATGGTGTGATATGTTGGGCTACGGCCTCGAGGAGTCAAGTTGGAAAATTATAACACCGTGAAACACTGACCTTCGCATTTATTTTATAGATGTGTGTGCTGTAGGTGTATGTAGAATTTTTACAGCCTTTATTACTGAATAAAGTTTATTTTCTGTCATGTTCTTTCACACAATTCCTCATCCAGTCTTCTGTAGTTTCCAGGTATCTTTGAAGAACGATTATTGTAGTTTTGTAAGTAAGTTCTAGTTGAACTAATCCTCTGCCTCCTTCAGATCTGGACAAATGTTATTAGGATGATGCATGCAGTATCAACTGATAAGCTTTCTCGTTTTGATATTATTGTTATTATTTCCTTTGATTTTTGTTGTATACACTTTATCTTTCGGCTCCTAACCAGAGACTTAAGGTTAGAAATGGCTTCATGACATTTTCCACTGATCATTTTCGTTAAAAAGCAAGCTAAGATCGCGCACAGATAAAGCTTTTCGTTAACTGAGTACATTTATTTGTGTTTCATGGGCTGACAAAGAATTTCCTTCAATGAGTGTATCGAAACATTTTCCTGTCAATCCGAGGGTTCCAACTACAACTGGAATTATTAATTTCCTCATTTATAGCATTTTTGGGATTTCCACTCCAAGACATACCTGGCTAGCTGGAGCAGGTGAATGACAGAACGTGGTCTAAGGGAGGAAGAAGAGGGAAGGAATTTGCTGAGAGTTGAAAGGAATAGAAGAAAGTGGAGAGCCATGATCGCCTACGTCCTGAAAGAACATGACACAGAAAAAGGAAAAAAATGTGTTGCTGTACTTGTGAGGAAGATTTTTTAATTTCCTTAAGGCATGGGCTACCAGGAATCCATCTAATGAGTCTCTCGGAACCTTTTTCCAATCAATCCGAGGGCTCCAACTACAAATGAAATTATTGCTGTCCTCATGTGGCATATTTTTGAGATTTCGATTTCAAGATCCTTGTAGTTTGATAGTCTTTTTTTAAAGACCTTAAAAGATACATTGCAGTCTGCAGGGTACTGTCATGTCAAGAGAGACAAGGGATATCAGCGTGTGACATACCTGGTTAGTTTAAGCAGGTGGATGACTGAACGTGGTGTGGGGGAGAAAGCAGAGGGAAGGAATTTTCTAAGAGCTGCAAGGGATAAACGTAGGTGGAGAGCCATGATCGCCTACGTCCTGAAAAAAAGAAAAAAGGTGTGGCTGTACTTGTCAGGAGTTTTTTTTTTATTTCTTTATGTCATGGACTACCAGGAATCCATCCAATGAGTCTATCGGAACCTTTTTCCAATCAATCCGAGTGCTCCAAATACAACTGGAATTATTGATGCCCTCATGTGCCACATTTTTAGATTTCCACTTCAAGATTATCGTATTTTCATAGTGTCTTGAAGATCTTTTATAAAACCTTACAATCTACAGGAACTACTATATACAATAATAAATCATATTCTGTTCATGTGGTCTTTGATCACGATGTCTGGCCGATTAGCTTTGATTGTTGCCATTGAGAAGGTTGAAAATTGAAAATTAAAATCAAAGTAGGACCGAGGATAGAGCCCGGGGGGGGGCACCTGTATTAGTACAAAAGGATCTGAGTAGGGTAGCCATTTAGGATAACTTTCATTTCATGATTTGAGAAGATAGACTGGATCAGTTCAAAAGTTCATCCAAAGTCACCATAACTTTTCAGCTTGTGGAGAAGACCTGTATCCCAAACTCTGTTGAATGCTTTCAAAATGTCCAAAGCAACAACCCAAGAGCTTCACCATTCTTATCTAAAGCTTGATAGATAGATAGATAGATAGATAGATAGATAGATAGATAGATAGATAGATATGTTGTGAACATACTGAGATAGATAGATAGATAGATAGATAGATAGATAGATAGATAGATAGATAGATAGATAGAGTAATGGGTTCAAAACTGATATTTTAACTAGATAGGTAAAGCATTTTACTCATGTGTATAGGTACATAGATAGATATGAAAAGACTGAAAACATAGATAGATAGATAGATAGATAGATAGATAGATAGATGATGTGTTGTGAACATACTGAGATAGATAGAGAGATAGATAGATGTGCTGTGAAAAAACTGAGATAGCTAGCTAGATAGATAGATAGATAGATAGATAGATCTATGTGTTGTGAATATACTGAGATAAATAGATGTGTTGTGAACATACTGAAATAGAGAGATAGACTGATGTGCTGTGAACAAACTGAGATAGATAGACAGAGAGATGTGTGTTGTAAACTTACTGAGATAGATAGATAGATAGATAGATAGATATGTTGTGAACATACTGAGATAGATAGATAGATAGATAGATAGATAGATAGATAGATAGATAGATAGATAGATGTGTTGTGAACATACTGAGATAGATAGATAGATAGATAGATAGATAGATAGATAGATAGATAGATAGATAGATAGCCTCTTTCTACAATAATCATTAATACATCAGCAGTTGACCTGGAGAAACCAAAACCATATTGCTTGTATGAAAGAAGCCCCTGTGATGTGATATGTTAATTAATTCTGCATTGATTATAGGGCCTCTGGGCAATTAGCTTTGATTGTGCTGTCTGTGTGTCTTGTAAAATCCCATAAAATTGTTACGGGTCTTATTTCTGTAACTGGGTCCGGGTGGTGTTCATACCAATTTCTTGCAGTTTACTTCTCGTAAAAGTTGCATATTTCTCAGTGCAGATATTGGCCAACTCTATCATGCCAAGTTTTATATTCAGTGGATGCTAACACTGTGCAACCTGATGCAAGATGGTCAATTGTTTCTGCATATTTATCACAGAATCTGCATTTCGGGTGGACACATTTTTTAAATTTCCATTTCAAGATCCTTGTATTTTGATAATTTTTTGAAGATACATTACAATCTGCAGGGACTGCCATGTCAATAAGAAAGCACATTGTGATCTGGGTGATTAGCTTTCATTGTTCTGTCAGTGTGTATTGTGTAGTTCCATAGAATTGTAACTGGTCCTATCTCCGTAACCAAGTCTGGGTGGTGTTTATATCAATGTCTTTCAGTTTCCTTCCCGTAGAAGTTGCAGATTTTCCAGTGCAGATATTGGCCCACTCTGTCTAGCCGGGTTTTATATTCAGTGGGTGCCAATACCGTGCAACCTCATACAAGATGATCAATTGTTTCTGGATATTTATTACAGAATCTGCATTTTGGTTTTAGCGCAATGTGCATTTGGTAATTTCTAATGAGCAAGCATTATTATTATTATTATTATTATTATTATTATTATTATTATTATTATTATTATTCAAACCAGTTTTTTTCCGATGTTTGAATTCTATATTTAAAAAAAAAAATACGGGGGTTGCAACATTTGCACAAATTCCGTAAAGATATTGTTTTTTTTTTTTTTTTTTTTTGTTGACCTAGACAATAAAGGGTCGACAGTTTCGTGAGTCTTAAAACAAAGCAACAAGTTTGGTGGGTAGGTGAAAAAAAAAAAAAAAAATTCAGAGGTCGATGTCCACACGAAACCGACTTATATACAGATGCATACGGTGTATATTAGTGGGGAGGTATTGGTGCTACCATTTGATATACACATATTTGACTATGCAGTTGTTTTCCCCGCCGTTTTTCCTCGGCCTGTTTGTTGCCAGCGTCTTAATTACGTGAAAGGTAATTAACTAAAGTGGTACTAATTAGCGATCTTTTTAATTGGATCGCCACTCGCAGCCTCACCTGTCTGGCTTTGCCTACTGGTATATAGAAGGAAGATGTTTAACTTGCTTTTATCCCACCAGGCGGCGCGCTTTCACGTGACTATGCGAGCAGACGCACAGGAAGAGATCAAAATTAAGTTTCTCGTTTTAATATCATGGCGATGTGAATAGAATGTCAACTGGCGAATTTGAAAAGGAAATTTCATATTTCTGGTATTGTATTATTTATCACAATTAATTCGAACAGTAATTCGAATAGTTCGAACAGAATAGTTTGCTATGGGACGCACGGATTGCGACTCGGATTGAGAAAACGGAGAGCCGAGTTCGAATTCCAGTCGGATTCATTACATTCACTTACGTGCTAATACTCTTGGTAAAAGGTATGAATCCTCTTCTTCTCTCTCCAGCTTTGGGTAAATAGCAGGACAGACTGGGTTCTATAGCCTTGGATGGCAACCCCTCTAGATGAAAAAACAAACCCCACTGAATACAAAACTGTATATAGCTCTGGGGAAGCACATACAGCTAAGGAAAATGTTATTTGTATGATCGTAACTACAACCGACTCCTTTTGAACAGAAAAAAATATTAAGACTACTTCCAACATAATTTATTCCCTATTTGAAATATAAAAAAAAGGAACTGCTATTTAAAAAAAAAAAAAAAACCTCCTGCGTTGGTGCTTTCCTTAGCATTAAAATCTTAACCTCAAGTCCTGCTTATCCTCGTAATCTTCACGTCCTCTTTCATTCCTATCAAGAACCTTATTCTTCATAACCATTTCAAAACTAAATCTCTAGCTTGAGTGGCACTCAAGGCTTGTATTGGACTCTTAATTCTCTTATCTACATATACATTTGAGTGGCTTTTTTTTTCTTGTTTGTCTGTCAAATGCTGTATCCCCTTCATCATCACCCTTCGGCCTTCTTCATCTGGTTGGTCAGATGACCATTGACAATCCCTTTGCAAACTGCTCGGTCCTGATTACCGTCCCCAGATCCCCAATCTCCAAGCCTGGCTCCCGAACTATGATGCCTGGGAAAGTCAATTTTCGTGAGAAGACACTTCCAGAAGGATGCCATAGCAGTAAGGATGAGACGATTTCCCTGACCGCTCGGTCGGGTTTCGATCCTAGCTAGTAGCAACCGGATGTCTAGCCACACTGATGAGCTGCGAAACAGTCTGTCTGTGGATGACGTTATATATATGTATGAATAAATAAAGAACAGTAAGATATATAATCCGGTGTTCTTATAGATATTCTTATTTTTACAAAATAGTGCTCAATGTAAATTTACAGAGCATTAATATTATAAATTAATTGATTTAAAATAATAATGTAAAATTTAAAATAAGTAATATATTGTTTCTCATGTAAGTACAAAGGACATGCGTCATTCAAAAGCTTACATCTTCTAGCATTTCATGTTAATTTCATTTTACTGTAGGTTTTTTTATTGGATTCTTTTAAGTGAGGTCTTTAGGTTAGAGAACGTTTTATTTAATTACAATTTAAAAGAGGTTTAAGTTTGAATACATTTTATTTAACTACAATTTTAATTACAACTTTAAAATATTTTCATTGTTAGTAAAAAAAAAAAAAATGATATGTGGGTGTCGCAGCTGCTAGAACTAAGTTTATATCAAAAATAAAAGTTTACTAAACCAGTGAAATTAAGTAGCCATTTTTGCCGTCATTGTCATAAATTTTACTTAAATAATATTTAGATATATATAAAAAAAATTGTTACCTAATAATATACATACTTATACTTGTTGTGAAAATAATTCTGCATACTGTAAGGGATTCTAATACATTTACTTGTTCTTAAAAGAAATATAATATATTAAAAATTAAAAGTGAAAATATTTCAAATCATAGTTAAATAAAAAGTATTCTAACCTACCCCACAAAAAAATCTTTAAATATACAAATAGAAAAAATGTCGTAAGAATTTTTGCCGTTAACAATAAAATTTTTAAAAATCCAGACGACATACATTTAACGGATGTTAGATTTCATTGAAAAATACATCCCTACCCCCTACCAAAACGTAACTAATAACTAATACATCAAAATACAGACATAATGAACACGCTGACACCCCTTGTCTAGTGGAAGTGGATTTCTCTGTAACCTTGGAAACGTGAATTATGATTTTTGCTGTGTCTTTAAAACCCAGTAATTTTAAAAGTTACTCCAAAATTCGCTTGAGGATGAAATAGAACTAACGTCTTTAATTTAATTACAAAATTAAATTCGGAGCTTTTAGCTTCCATTTTTGAAACATGGTTAGAAGTGTGTAGCGAAAAAAAACATATTTTAAATCAATTAATTTATGATATATATATATATATATATATATATATATATCATCATCATCATCACCCTTCGACCTACCTATGATTGGTCGGAACTCCATGGACAATCCTTTTCCACACAGTTCGGTCCTGTATTGCTGTCTCCAGAACCCTAATGTCCAACTTTGAGTCCCGAGCAATGGTGTCTGGGAAAATCAATTTTCGTGAGAACACTCTTCCGGAAGGATGCCATAGGAGTAAGGATGAAACGATTTCCCTGACCGCTCGATGGCAGTGGCCGGCAAACTGCAGTCGTTTTTGTTTGAGGTTAAGAAAGATTGGTGTCTGTTCTCCGTAAATTGCGTTATGAGCTGCATGGGATCTCCAGCTGATGTTCCCGATTTTACTGGGTAGATTCGTATATGTTCCATCTAGTCATCTTTAAAGACGAACAGATAATGTCCAAGATTCTGACCCGTGCAGTCGGACCGGTTGAGGCAGGGTTTGGAAGGTCTGGACTTTTAAAGAAGATGGAAAGTTCGCGCAGTAAATCCTTTGTTGCATGCGTCCCATGCAAGAGATTCGTCTTTGTTAGGGGAATCTATATTCCCTTGAGTAGCTAACATATTTCACATGGATTTCAGAGCACGTAAGAGGTTAAATCAAGAAGTAAAGGATATTACCATATAACACGTTTATTTCCAATAATAAAGAACTAATGTATATTTCTCTTTTGGACATACTTTCCCCTCCCAATATGGTGATGCGCTTCTGGTATTATCCAACTAGATTCTTCATCCCTTCTGAAAACAAAAAAACAAAAAAAAAACCTTTTCGGTTTACTTTACGTTTATGGAGATCCATAGCTAATGCTCGCGATGGCCGCCACATAGTCGAACAACATTCATAGTTATTGGCTTGTTTAGCGACCAGATCGGCTTTCGCACGTTACACAATTTTCTCTCTCCGCTTTAAGGCGTTCTACCCAATAGTACACCTTTCGTTGATGCGTGTTCCATACTGCGTCAATATCCGACTGATTGATTGCCGCAGGGTCGACTCCCTCTGCCCGCAGAAAGCGCACTACGTCGTGTTGTTTAGCATTGGAGCGGAGCGTCCATACGTCCGGCCTCGTTGCTGCGTGTCACTCGACTCAACGATGAAATGCTGCGCGTAATTTCAAAATTGACTTTACTTTCCGATGCGAGGTATTACTTTGCCCGGAACGATCTTTTTCCCCCATCTTTGGGCTAAATAGTAGAATTTGTATCTAGAAAAATCATTGCTATCTAAAAAATAATGTTAATACGATATTCACTCGTTATTACTCTTACAATCCCCCAAAATGTTTCGGCTTTAAATAACCAACAACGGGTTGATAAACCGTAGAAAATAAATCAATTAACGGATCAGCCAATCAGTGCATTA